GGGGGGGGCAGAGAAAGAAAACAAACGAGTAGAGAGACGCGTCAGTTCATTTCAAAGTAAATGCAAACATAAGCCCGGGGGCGTTGTTCGTCAGCAACGCAACTGCAGAGTACTCTCAATCAAAACGAAAAGAAGAAGTAGATAGCAAGAAATGAGTTCGTTACAAAAACAAATAAGAGATCACATACGTAGCTACTGCAAAAACAAAAAAATTAATCATGCATGAACAAGGAAGGCCAGCGAAGGGACATTTATAATTTTAAAAAAATATGTCTATCCAGGACTTGTTCAGTGACAATTACATTAAAGACTAGATTTTAACCATCATTGTCCTAGGTGGCTATACAAATGGGACATCAGATTCTCCGCTTTGGAAAACTGCTTGAGGCACTCAGTGCACTTAAACAGCTGCGTGTGCATTCTTCTGATGTGATTTTTCAGGTCGCAAGAATACAAGAACTTCTTGTGGCACAGGGTGCACTCGTAGGGCTTCACTTTTGAATGGTGAGCTCGATAATGGTTTCTCATATTACTGTTGGTGACAAATGACTCTGAACACGAGGGACACGAGACTGGTTTGTGCCCGGTATGGATGAACATGAGATGACATCTTAGGGTGAAATTCCGAGCAAACCTCATTTTGCACACGGTACACTCAAACGGCTTCTCTCCAGTGTGCGTGCGAACATGTTCCTGCATGACAGATTTTTGTGTGAACGACCTGGGGCACATGTGGCATTTAAATGGCCTTTCCCCCGTGTGAATTAGCAAATGCATCTTCAGAGCACCAACCTGCGTAAACCTCTTATGGCAGACCGTGCACTCGTAAGGCCTCTCTCCGGTATGTGAGCGCTCATGCTTTATCTTATCACGACTGTCGGGAAACTCTTTCGGGCAGAAGGAGCACTTGTACGGCCTTTCTCCCGTATGATACCGCATATGCGCTGAAAGCGCAGTCGGACGACCAAACCTCTTGTGGCACACGGTGCACTCGAAAGACTTCTCATTATTGTGAACTATTGCAATATGTTCCTGAAGAAAATGCTCACTTGTTGACCGCATGTTGCACACTGTACATTCAAATGGTTTCTCAATCTCTACATGGACTGATGACACATGGCTTCTTAGATTCCCGGAGTTTGTAAACTTCTTGTCGCACATGCAGCACTCGTACGGCCTCTCCCCAGTGTGAACCATCATGTGCCTCTTCAGAACGACAGCTTCCATAAACGTCATGTTGCACACGTCACACTTAAACTTCCGTTCGCCCGTGTGGAGGCGGTAGTGAACTTCAAGGCCCGGTTTGGATTTGTACGTCTTAGGGCACACGATGCACTTGAACGGCCTGTCGCCCACGGCATGATGAACGCCTATGTGGAGCGACAGAGCAATGGGCGTGTCGTAGTCCTGGCTGCAAACCTCACACTTCACAGGCATGATGGAGGCACAGCGTGGAACTCAGCGAACAAAAGCAACTGCCTGCGAAAATATAAGAGCCCTATCAGTATACCGAGGGGAAGACAAATTTTAGACGGTTCCATTTTACAACCAATAAAGCATGTCATGTCACAAAAACCGACAAAAACAAAACTTGTAAGGAAAGCGAGAAAAAGTAATCAGAA